AGGAATAGCTGTTGGCACTGAAAGGTGGCAGCAGGGCAGGCAATTGCTGAGCTGGTTAAAGACTTGCCCTGAGGGTGTCTATGTAATGCCAAGCTCTCTCAGAAGCTCTGGCAGCTTGGCACCTACTGCTCTTGTTGAGTATCATCCCCCACTGAACCAGCAGAGGAGCAGGTCAGAGAGCTTGGCTCTCACGCCCCAGTATATCATAAGAATACTTGTGGCAAATTTTGTCTTGAGGAAATTATTTAATCTGTATTTCAAGAAGAAGCCAAACAGTAGTTTATGATGCTCCACCTCCTACAGGTGGATTTGGGAAAGCATATATGAGGAAAGCCAGGACAGTATTTTATTGTGATGTTATTTCTGGCTTTCCACTCTGTATCCCATTGGAAATGTAACCCAGAATCCTTTTCATCAAGCCATGAACAGAATTCAGCTACACCTTTCTGAAACAATACGTAAGACCTTCACCTGAAGGTTGCCGATTTGGCTTGTGGAAATGGCCGTCATACGATTCTAAAGGGGACTGTCACACTCACCCTGAGAGCACTGCATGCTGTCCCAGGCAATCCACTGACATTGCAGTCGCCTGTTAAAGAGAAATAGAGAACAAAACGAAATTATATCTGTCATGCCAGCTTCTCAGCCAGACACACAGCTTTGGGGAGGAGCTCAGGAAAACCTGCCAGCTCATCATCGAGGTACAAACTGCTCTGGTAAGAGTCAAGGCTGGTACCAGTCAAGGATGGTAGAAGTAACGTTCCCTTAAAGAAGCACAGAAGGGCGATAGGGTGTAGCAGCTGATTTTGGGATGTAGGACAGCATACAGAAAACATCTTTGTTAGAGTAAACTGAAGACAAGACCTGGCAGACCCCATTACAACCACTAAGACCTTGCTCCCTTCTCTCCACTATGGCAATCACAGCTGCAGCCTTTCAATCAGCAACCTCTAATAATCCGTATTAATCAGCCTCTCCTCCCGCTCAGGAGCTTTCTCAGTCTCCCCCTCTTACACTGCAGGGCCAGATTTAATTATGTATGTTCTGGGAGACGGAATGCAATCATTTGTATATGGCTGGTCTCCAAAAATGAGAGATGGCTAAGAAGCATCAGAATGCAATTTGGCATTGCTTGTAAAGAAAGTCAAGAGATAACTTAAATGCCATAAGAAAAGACTGCTTGAAGATTGTCTCCCATCTTTTTGTTCAGAATGGAATGGGGTGATCACCTCATTTAATTCCCAAGAGAACAAAGGAAACTTACTTGGAAAGCCAAACAGTTCAGCCTATAAACACAGATATGACTTCAATGCAGTTTTTAGTGTTCACAGTACAAAAATCAGATTATGCCCCATATTCTTCAAACTGACTGCTGTCATCTTCAAAGCTTCCTCTCTGAAGGCTCAGGATGCCCCTGTTGCTGTTCAGGATTCTGCTAAGTACTCTCAGTGTGGATATATCAAGATGTCCCACAGCTACTGCTTATAAAGGAGACAAAATGGCAATCCCATTGGAGTTCCATCAGATGTGACAGGAGAATAACCATCGCAAAAACCTAGTTTTTTCAACCAAGGTTCCATCCCCTAATTCCAAGGACCCAAACTAAGGGAAAAACAGCTTCACGGGCTCATTCTTTGCTAGAGACCAAGAGTCCACATGGCAAAGAGCTTCAAACGCCTGCATAGTTTCAGCACGAGTATGCAGTTAACCCCAGGCTCATACCTATGCCCAGTCAAGCCGATTTTGCTGTTCCAGGAGCGACCTGCCTTCACTGCTTTTTTCTAGGTAACAAATCCAGTCTTCTGGCAAGGTTCTCCTAGTCCTAAAATAATGCTGTAAAGAAGCAGCTGGTTTTAAAATCAGCTTGGTAAAGAAAGAATTCCAGCTTCCTAGATTTCACAGCACCTTGCAAAACAAAGCGGGTTCTTAAAATTTATTTAAAAAAAGGCAAGCAGGAGGAAGAACTTTCCCCAGACACACTTCTGAGGAATTAGAATGAGGATCGCTAAAGCCATTACTGGAAACAGAACTTTCTCACATGATGAAGAGCCACTCAGCTGACATACTCCATGCAGCTGTGGCTATCTTTCCTCAAGACAGAAGACAAACATCAATTTAACGTGATAATTTCATATACAAGTTTATTTTTCCTCCTGTTGGCACCAGGATATCATAAATCCTTACAAATTGTTTTTAATAATGAACATTGGTGAACTGTTTTTCCAAGCACCAAACATCATAAAATGCAATGAACAATTAGAACGAAGTAAAAAGCTTCATGTGTCAGGCTGCTACTCTGGTAGGTCACAAATGAAGTAATTTTATGGCAACAAACAGTTCTTGACAATACTACAGTCTTACCTAAGCAACAGAAAAAAACCAACCAAACAGCTGCCATGTAATGTGCTTGGTTGATTGCTATGTCAGTCTTCACAGCATAAAGTTCCAGAAGCAGGGAACTGAAACTGAACAAACTGACCTGAAAGCAGCTTTTATCCCAAAACATCAGGATAGCTAGAATTGCTGTTTATGAGTAACAATTACATGAATAAGCACAGTAGGAGTACTGCACATTTGAAAATCAGCTCTGAGCCCACAGCCCAGCCAGCACCTCCTTAAGACTTCAAATGTCACTTAATTTCTGCTAAGCCAGGAAAAACACCCTTTCATGTCTCAGCTTCAGTTACTTTTGAACCTAGCTTCATTCTCTCCAACCAAAAGGCAACAGACCAACTTAATTTGCCAAGGCTATACTGCTTTTCAAGAGGTACAAACTCTTAGCATACCTAACTGGCTACCTACGCACTGAACTGCTACATATGGTACTATGCCATCACTGTTGGACGTGGTGAGCTTTACTCTCCTTCTGGTACTACAGGCAGCCTGACAAGAGCCTGTGGGTCACATCTGAATCAGAAGAGCACAGAGACTGCCACCTCTGTCAGCTTGTCCAGCAAGATGATACCTGTAGGCAGTAAAGGCCCCAAATTACGCAGATATTTTCTGAAGTGTTAACAGGTTGGGTCCTTTAGTTTGTTCATCATGTCAGAGTGTGTCATGTGAAAAGACAACTGCTGTGCTTGCAGACACATACAGGCTATAAATGTAACCACTGCCCACTCCTTTGACTCTCATTCCCATTTAAGTTGGATTTGGGGAAGGGATTTTGGAGACAGTGTGATCTATAGGCACAGCCCAAGCCTGGTACAGGACGACATGGCCAAGGTGTTTCAGTTTCTCAAACTCAAGTTTCCCATCTGCAAAAAATGTTTGTGCAGACTCCTAAGAAAAGCTCAAGGACAAACACAGATGAATTTAGCTTGAAGCAGCAGCCTAGCAGCCATTGCAGCTCTCTGGTTTTATATAAGGGAGTAGGCAGGTCAGAACAGCTCTAGACAGATCACACCGGAGTGAGCCAAAAGGACCAAAACCTGTGGTTAATCTCTCTATTAAGGTATATGCCTGCACAACAGCAAGATTGAAACTAATTGCTCCAGAAGAGGATGGAAACACTTGTGTTCTCCCCCTCGCATACCAGTTATTATGAATAAGCAATCAAATCAGGCCGCGTATCTCCTGAGCTGGATGCAATCCGAAACTGTGATCTAAGAAGACATACGCATATCATTACCTGTTTCCCAAGAGCAAATCTTCAACAGCAGACAAAACTGCTTTAACATTTCTTACAAGAGGAAAACAAAACTGATACAAAGCTTTTGGGGTATAAAAGCAAAAGGCTTTCTGAGCTTAGGGAACAGGCTGGGTGCAGGACAAGAGGATTCAATGCCCTTATTTGCAATGGTGAATGCAGAGCTGATGTCACTCCAACACAAGAGGAGAAACTAGAAAATGACAGCTTGCATACCTATGTTTGCTAATCTTTCTGGACTTCCTGCATAAATTGATCATAGTTTACCCACCGTATTCAGCTGTGCTAAGCAACTGTCACCTTGAAAACCCCACACACTTCTTAGAATAGCTTCTAAGAGAGCACATAAACTCTGAGGAAAGCTCCCTTGTAGCCAGCAATTTCAAAACCAAAAGCTGACCGTTTTATTATTTACAAGAAAATATAAACCACTTTTCTACCTAATCGAGCATCACCCAACAGTTCCTACTGCAAATGAGAAAGGAACTATAAAACTCTCAGATGAAAAATGAGGAAAGATGTGTGGGAAGTGGCAATATCTTCTATTAGGCCTGACATTACACTCAAGGAAAAAAAAAATCTAAATGAGATTAGACATAAAGTGCCTCATGAATTAAGGCATTATCTCCGCGCAAACAGCTCCGAGACTGGCTCAGACCGTCTGTCTACAGTCGGCCAAAGGCCCAGTGGGAAGGCCGAGCCCGTCTAGGCCAAAACCCCCTCCCCGCTCCTCACAGAAACGACCGGGCGCGCCCGGGGCAGCCCCACAAGGGCCGGTCCGAGCAGCGGCCGGTCCGAGCAGCAACTCCCGGCGGCGGCGGCCCCCCGACCTGGGCGTCACGGAACTCCACCACCACATTCTCGCTGCTCCAGCGCGCCGCCATCTTGTGCCGCCCCAGCACGAGCGGGGCGGGCAGCAGCGCGCCTGAGCGCAGCGGGGCGCCACGAGGGGGATGACGGGAAATGTAGTCCTCACTCACTCACACACACCCCAGCACCCTCGGTCGTGGCCCAGGTCCGGTGCACCGGGGGCAGCGCGTCCCCCGCAACCGGCGCGGTCTCAAGGCGGGTACGGCCCTAGCGCGGCCTGGCTCCCCCAGACCGCCTAGCTGCGGCGTCGTCCGCGTGGTTACGGTCCCGCTGCAAGCCCGTGGGGTTGAGGGCTCTGCTTCGTGGGGCAGTAGCAGAAGCGCGGTGTCTCCGTGCCCTCCAGGGCCGCTGCGGGGGCGCGGACGAGCGCAAGCCCAGGCGACGGGTCCGGCAGCATCGCAGGGGTTAAGGGCGGCGGGCCGGGAGAGCGGGAGGCCGGGGGGGTGGGGGAGGTTGGGGGCGGGAGCATGCGTGCTGCCGGCCTCTATTGTCTCCGGCGCGGCGCCGAGCACCCAGGCGGCTGGCGGCGGCCGGCAGCGAGGCTGTGGCCGGCGCAGCGTAGCGGAGTGGGGCCCTGCGCCCCCGCCGCCCCCAGCCGCCGCCACATGGGCCGCAGCTGATCGTCGCCCGGCTGCTCGGCCGCGCCCCGGGCAGGAGCGAGGCGGGCGGAGCGACCCGACCGGCGTCCACCCTCCCCTCTTCCCCTTCCCTCCCTTCCCCCGCCATCCCGGGCATCCTCATCCCTCCCCTCCGCGGCTCCGGAGCCCTCGGCGGGAACCGCCGAGGGTGACGGCGGCGGCGGCCTCGGAGCGCCCTCGCCCTTGCGGGCCCGGCGCGGGGAGGATGCCTGGGGCGGGGATGGGTTTTCGCCCGTAGCTCCTCTCGCTCCCCCCGCTTCCTTCCGCCCCCTCTCGCCTCCCGGGGGCGGCGCGGCCCCGTTCCCCGCGGGGGGCTGTCGCTCAGCTCCCTCCGGCCCTGCGGCGCCCATATGGGGGGCAAGCAGAGCACGGCGGCCCGTTCGCGGGGCCCCTTCCCGGGGGTGTCGACGGATGACAGCGCCGTGCCGCCGCCGGGAGGAGGGGGGGGGCCGCCCCCCTTCGGCCATTACCGGGCGGGCGGCGGCGCCGGCGGCGCCATGGGGCTGCGCAGCCGCTCCGTCAGCTCGGTGGCTGGTATGGGCATGGACCCCGCAGCGGCCGGCGCCGTCCCCTTCGGGCTGTACGCAGCGGCGGCGCGGGCGGCAGAAGAGGCCGAGAGGACCCCGGGCGGCGGCGGCGGTCCAGGCTCCGACTCCACGTACGCCCATGGCAACGGTTACCAGGAGACGGGAGGCGGTCACCATAGAGACGGGATGCTGTACCTGGGCGCCAGGGCCTCGCTGGCCGACGCGCTGCCCCTCCACATCGCACCGCGGTGGTTCAGCTCGCACAGCGGTGAGTGCCGGCTCCCCGGAACCTCCCCACAGCTTCCACTCCATCCATGGGAGCCCCGGCTCAGTGGTGGGCACGGTTTGCCCAGGAACGGGTTGTGAGGGGGGCTACCCCTTGCTTGGCTGGCTGCTCACCCCCCCTTGTGCTAAGCCTGAAGGAAAGACCTCCATCCCTTTCCTGGTACTGGGGATGGCGTCTGTGTCAAGGTCAAGGGAGGAAGGGGCTGTGAAGGCAGGAGGCTTTCTGTAAGGGAGGTGGTTTGACTGGGATGTGATGTGGTAGGTGTGGCAGACACGTATCCCCCCTACTTCGACTTGGGGGAAAGTGGTCTGAAGGTGCTTTTGCTGGAGCACTGGGTTTTTGAAGACCAAACCAAGCTCCTTATGCCTCTATTGAAGGTGCTTGCGGGTGCTGCTCAGGTATAACTGTCCCCATGCATTAGAAACCGGGAAAGGGGCAGAGGAAGCCTTTGAAAGCGATGTGTGGGATTTTCTTCCCCTTTGTTTCTTCTGATAAAGGGCCAGGGAGAGGCCAAAGCGGGTTTTCTCATTGAAGCCAGCTGGCACCATTGTGATGCTGTGAAGGAAGCAGAGGAGGAACTGCCTGCCTCTTTAGCAGGGCTGGGAAGCCAGCTAGGCTCTCTTGCAGGAAACATCAGGCTGAGGGGGGGGAACAGTTGCCCCCATCTTCACCCTCCTGGCTGGATCCTTCTCTGGGTGCTGGTGTCTAGAGAGGAGCTCTGGCTGTGAGCAGGGCTGTGTCACTGACCTAGTTTTGGCTGGGTACAGGGAGTGAGATGGGAGGGCCTCCCTTCCCATCATGGCTAGGGGGGAAGTCATTTCAGGGATGTCTCCTTGTGTTTCCTGGAATAGTCTGGGATTTCTCTCCCACCCGTCCCCTTTGTAAGCGCTGTAAGTGTTCTCCTTACATGACATTGTCTGGGAATTTCATAATACACTTTGGGACAATGCCTCATTTTCAGAAAGGATTGAAACTGAACCAATGGACAAGAACTAAGTGCAAAACAAGGCTTGTGGGGCCCATTTTCCTCCTTCCATCTTGGGATTTTTCCCATTTACCCAGTCTTCAGGGGCAACTCTTCTCAGTTAAATGAAAGCTATATGTCTTGCATTGTATCCTTAGTGGCAGAACACCCTGAGCAGGGTGCTTGCAGTCCTCCCTGGCAGATGGAGAGGGCTGACTGGCATGTGAGACCAACTGCTTCCACAAACTTTCTTGCTCCATGACCTTGTGCAGACTGTGCTGCTGCTCTGGGTTTTAAGCACAGATAGAAACTAAGGCACGGTATCCTTGCAGGTATTTCCCAAACCTCTGTGTGAACAAGTGCCATGAGGCCTTTTGCTGCGCCTGGCACTGGAGTGAGGAGTGTTCCATTGGAGAAACACCCTGGGGCTAAGCTGCACTTAGAGGTGGTCAGTTAGAGAGTATCAGTTACATTAAATGGTAGTTTTCAAGCTGCAATGCTGAGAGGCAAAGACCTGCTCATAAAAATAAACCAGCTGCAAAATGGAGTAAGCTTTTTCTGGCTGCTCAGGTTAGTACAATGCTGCTAAGTTAAAGCCAATGTCCTTGGAAGCTTGCAGCACAAGCTGTGGGAAGTGCTGCAGGAACTGGGTTTCTCTGGTGCCTCTTTTGAGGCCCTCTGAGAGTGAGCTATGCTGAAGCAACAGTAAAAGCAGTTCAGCCTGTGCTGAAGCCTATCCTGGTGGTGGTTCTTCCTCATTGCTAATTAATAGCAAAAGGAACGGAGGATGCTTAAAAACCATCCTGAAAAGTTGTTGGAGCTTGATAGACTTTTGCGTTCTTCCTCTTAGTGTAAGAAGTTAATGGAGGATTTGGAGGCTGAAAGGAAGAGGAAGTAAGCCACCTCAAGATTGCTAACATTCCTGCTAATCTCCTGTTGCAGCTGGTTAAGCTACAGCAGGGCAGGCAGGAGCTACTCGCTTCTCCCACCTTGCCTCCCCATTGATCTGCTCCTCTCATGGTGTGGAGCCACTCCATTACCCACTGGAAAGTGCTGAAGCAGCAGCACTCTAGTAAATGGAGAGGAGCTTTGACATTGCTGTGCCTGATTGTCTCTTCTTTGAAGGATGACTCAGGGGTGTGGGGATTAGGGGACCCGTTGACACACCAAACCCACTCAGCAGGATGTGTGCCTCGTGATCGCGGGGGTCTGCCCACATTGCTGTACTGCCTCAGGAGAGGAGTCCCCCCAGACCGTGGCTAAGAGGTCTGGAGAGTTGATCCTTGCCCTGCCTGCCCTTTCCTCTGCACAAGCTGGAGACCTGGACAGTGCTGATCTTGGCACATGGAGGAGGTTGTGCTCATGAGCTTGCTTTTCCAGGGGTACTGGAGTTTTAGGGTAGAGCCAGGAGCCTCAAAGTGCAGCCCGGGCTCTTTAGGGACCCTGGTGGGACAGCAAGGAGCCCTGGCTTAACGCTGGTGATAAGGTGCTGTTGTTGCAGCAACATGCCTGTGATAACAGGAGCATGCAGATAGGCTGGGCACCTCACCGCTCCCTTTATCTGTGGTGCTGGGCCCATCAGCAAGAACCCTTAGCAGTGAGCTGGGATGGGCTTGTCCTCTTTTCCTTGGCTAATCTTGACTCCTTTCCCCACTCTGCAGTGGAAGGCTTGCAGAAGAGCCAGGCATGGAGGAGAGGCCTGCTCAGAGGGAGGTTGGGAAGTGGTCCCTAGGGCCAGCATGTGCTGCAGCATCACTGTAGGGTCCTGTGTGTCATGACAGTCAGCAAGAAGAGCCCACTGCTGAATCCTCCAGGCTCTGCCACAGCTGCTGGGGTGCAGGGACAGCAGAAGCAGTTCTGTACTGGAGGCTTTCCAGGGTCAGGGATGGAGAGCTGCTGCTCTTAGGAATAGCAAAGCCTAAATGGGTGTTTTAAATGGGGTGAGTGAGGGAGCTCTGACCTTGCGGTGGAGCTTGTCCCTCCGCTGAGGCAACAGCACCTCATTTCCTGATGGGGATTTTCCCAGGTATGCCTGGATCCACGTGAGCAATGCAACTGCTCCAGCACCACCCAGATCTGCTCTGGGATCTCCCTGACTACCCAGGGTTTGGGATCCGCTTCCTGGCTTACATGGGTGGAAGATGACAAAACAACTTTTGCAACTTTGGAGTTTGCCTGTAGCACTTGACCCCATCTCTGTAGCTTCATGACCATTAGGACTTCTCAGCAAAGCTGAGGCTAGCAGGAAGAAGGGAGAAAAAGGAGATGCGTGGTTTAGTGCTGTATGTTTCCAGCTTTGTGTGGTGCTCTTGGTATCACTGATGTTACTCATCTTCATCAGAGGATCTCGGGGAGTTTGCAGAAGCTGCAAGTAGCTTAAAGTTTATCTGGAATTCCTTCTCATCACCCAAAGCCCTTGTCTGAAGTTCTAATAAGTCCATATCTCCTTTTCTGCTGGTTACCTAAGGGAAATGCCATCTCTCTGTGCTATCAGGAATGTCACAAGCTTTCCATGTACTGGCAAAACAAGCTGTTTGTTCTGGATGCTGGTAGCAGCAAAGTCAGGAGGTCTCCTTTGCCAAGGGAGCTGCTGTGTTCTCAGTGGTGCCTTGCTCAGAGCAGGAGGACCCACCCTGAGGGAGAGGGAAGAGTGGCTGGCACAGAGATTGCAGCATGGCTGCTGGGCTGTGTCCTTCTCCAGGCAGCTTTAGAGAGTGAAACAAGCTGGAAGTGCTCATTTAATAAGGGATGTGAAATAGGGATCACTTGTTGGAGAATGAGATGCAGGTCTATGTGAATGCCAGCGCTGGGCAGCCTTGGTCTCTCTGCCTGACTGGGTACTGTGGTATCCAGTACCCATGTCTGTGGTGTACCCTTGTTGTGCTCTGACAGCTTCGAGTCCTGAGCCTTTTCTCACTTGACAGTCCTCACTTCTGAGCTAGTCCTGCCATTGTGGTCTCCACCAAAACCAGAAGCCTTAATTCTAGCTGGCTAGTCAGCAGGTCCACTTTCAGCTGGTTTTCCTGACACCAAGTTTTCAACATGCAGATATTTTATGTGCGTCCCTCCCCTCTTACAGGTGCTAGGCCAGGGAAAGAGCATCCCAGGGTCTGCAGGAACTTGCCATTAATGAATCTATTTTTCAGAGGAAATTTCTAAAGAAGGCTGTCCTCAAGCCATCTTGCCTGGCAGTGTGGTCAGGTACCCACAACGTTGCCAGGCCTGTGGATCATAGATTTACAGAATGATTAGTGTTAGAAAGTATCTTAAGATTATCCAGTTCCAACCGCCTGCCATGGGCAGGGACACCTCACACTAGACCAGGTTGCTCGAAGCCCCATCCAAACTGGTTTTGAATGCTGCCAGGGATGGAGCAGCCACAACTTCCTTGGGCAGCATGTGCCAGGGCCTCACCACCCTCACAGTGAATAATTTCTTCCTTAGATCTAACCTAAATCTCTCTTGTTTAAGTTTGAGCCCATCACCCCATGTCCTATCACTACACTCCCTGATGAAGAATCCCTCTCCAGCATCTTTATAGGCCCCCTTCAGATACTGTAAGGCTGCTAAGAGGTCTCCAAGCAGCCTTCTCTTCTCCAGGATGAACAGTCCCAGTTTTCTTAGCCTGTTTCAAGGCACTGATGGCTCCCCAGGCTGGTGATATTCAGCTATTGGACTCCTTGGGTCTGAAAGGGTTGCTCTTCCACTTCAGCCTTCTCCGAGCCAGCTTCAGGGCAGCATACACCCTAGGCAAGAGGCAGCCTTGGTAAAATAAAGTACTGAATACCAAAAGATGGGGAAGTAGAAGGCAGCTTTGGTGCATACCAGGCCTGCAGCCTGGAGACGAAGTGTGTCAACGTTGGTGTTGTGTGTGAGGAGCCGGTGGCGGTTATCTGTGGTCTCTGCAGCAAGAGCTGCACTGCCTTGACTCCAGTGCCCTCCAAAATCTCTCGTATGCCTTGCCTAGGAGCCAGGCACTAATTGGTGTGGGTGCTAATGGCTTGGCTGGGCTTGCTCC